TAGAGGGATGGTAAACCTAGCACCTCTTGAGCAAAACAAAGGTCCATATGTTTCCACTGTAAATTGTCCTGGAAAACAAATCTCTGCAGCCGGTAATCTTAATGGGAGGGCAGGATCACAGGCTTTTTTAACTAGCCTAGTAAATCCCCTCCATCCGCACAAAGCTGCGCTGCCCTGCAGGTACAGGTGCTGCGCTTAGAGACAGAGCTGCGTCCCAGCTCCGCCACGGGGACCACGCGGCTGAGGAGAAGGCAAGCACAGCCAATGCACTTCTGCACTGCTCATTAGCATCGCTAGCGATGCTTTATGTTCATGCTTAGCATGTGCAATGGTAAACAGAGGTTTTAATAATACCTAATCAGAGGAGAGGTCTAAATGCCAATAAGCCCCTTATAACAAAGCATGCACATCGTCGCCGGTTATGCTCACACTCCTCTGTAAATGCATTAAAGGGGTTACTGAGTGAAGAGCATTAAATGTAAGCTCTGTAAATGTGACAGTATCAAAAACTTCAGAGGCATATATTTATGAGTGCCACAAGAGGAAAGATATGTGTATGTGAAGCACACCGCAAAGTAAATGCCAAAATGCATAACTGACTCATTAGGAGATACGGCCAGAAGTGACACCGAGATTTCCTTCGCACCCTTCTGCAAGAACATGCGTCGTATGTTGGAGCTACAATTTTCTGTGAAAGCGTGATTTCATGAGAATATCCTTATAATCTGACTGTAAAAAGTACAAGCAAAATGGAATTGGATAAATAACACTTTATGAAAACAGATGTGTGCACGCGTAGCTGTGACGGGAGTTTCATAAGACTATTCATTAATATAAAATATTACACTGCAGTCAAAACAGCTAGATTGCAGTTATACCCCAGTTAAAGCTTATTGGCCCTTTTACACTGTTTCATACTAAAATGGTGTAATTATCCTTACATTCGCTCATATTTAGAGGCAAGGATCAAAGTAGAGATGACCACTACAAGCAGAGGGGTACACTTTGAGTTCCAAATCACATCTGTAAGCGTGGGGAAACGGTGTTTGTTTTCAACGATGTTAATGGTTTAGCAGAAGTGCTAAAATAGATACAGCGGGAACCGCTAACTTACTGATTATATGGTATCACCATCACATTTTTAGGAGCCATGGTCCTAGAAATGAGGGTATTGCACAATGCTCTGCAGTCCGCAGTCATTTCAGAGCAAGAATAATTGCGTATTCGAGATGAGCAAACCTATCAAAATGAGGATTCAAGTGCAAGCTCCGAACAAAGACTATGGATAATTAGAAAAACATGGTTCAAGAACAGAGTTTTTAAATTAACCTCAGCAAAAGCATGGCTTCTCACGCTTTCTGTCAAGATTTCCTTTGAGAAACAGATTCATTTGAATCTGAAACTCCAGATGAAAGCTTTGGGTTGCAAGGACTGAAATCAAAGGACAGGCTGCTGCAGACTGTTGCAAAATGTTCCTGAGCAAACAGGAAAGAAGAGTGAGAATCAGAGAAGGAAAAACACAAGATTTCATGGGTGAAAAATGGAGAGAGGAAAAAAAAATTATCATTAATGTTTAAAATTGGAACGCTCATCATGGTCAACACTCAATTTCTGTTAACAACTTAACTGAAATTATTTCAATCAGTCACTCATTTCAGGATATAACTGAGTAGACGCTGCTCTAGGCAAAAATCACTGATTTAAGCGAAGATCCCCTTTCAAACTTACTTTCCAAAATTGGTTTAAAAAAGAAAAAAAGTGTGCACATTTGCAAAAGAACGTTACCTGGGTTTAGACCAGCGCGGCTTGCCCCATGGGCAAGCTAAGAAAACATATCCACTTTTTAGCAGATGTAAATTTAGCCCCACCGAGAGATTCCACAACCAAACTGAAAGCCAGGGAGACGTCAGGGAAACCCTATCGACAGCAGCTAGGTTGTCGTTGTGCTGGGATGTTGCTAAACGAGGCTGGAAGTGTGTGAAGGCACAGCTGCTCCCCAAAACTGCATTCCTGAAACAGTGGCCTGGTTTAATTCCATCTCCGGGCTCTCTTCCCACTTGCACGTTTTTGATGAGGGACATAAATTTGCAAGCTAGTTATCACGATCCTGAGAAAACAGCAATGAAATCTTAAAATATGTCTGTAATAAAAAGCTATTTTTTCCTCATGTAAAGGATCATTCCATTTGCTGTCAGCTCTCTGCGCCTCCTACAAGTGCATATACTTCATTACTCCAGCACAGAAACGCAAGCTCAAAGGATTCAACAGCTCAGACCCTCTCTGATGGTTTTCCTTCTGCCCAAGCAAGGGCACGCTTTCA